TTCCTGTGCTGCAGCTGGGCTCATTTTGGTCTGATGGCTTCAGTCTGGCCTTTCTGCTTCTAATGGGATGTGGGCAGGTTGTGTGCCTGGGGCTTGGCAAGTTTAACTCCTCTGCCCTTTCCCGGTGCTGTCTGATTTGCCCTAATGTGAGCACTAAAGGCTTTTCCTGCTATACAGGCAGGAAATCATTGTGCTGAGACTGTGTGGTCCTAGTGACTCTGAGCTCCTGAAGGTGTAGGATCAGGCCCTTCTTGTGAGCTGTCTGCTCTGCACCCCCTAAGCTGAGTCAGGCCTCTCAGTGGTATTCACAGTTTTGATTATTCTGGGCTTGGTGAGCATCGGTAGATGGATTTACAGGGGTTTGTATCCCCTGAGGACCAAGAGCCAGTTGATAGGAAGCATTGAGTGTACAAACTGAAGTGAAAGTACAAATGGTCCCAGCAAGGGGCCCAAAACTGTATGGAAGAAGCAAAGGTAGGCTGAGTCTGGAGCATATGTCTGCAGGTTTTCGGCGTGCCTCATGACTGTGCGCTTCAATTTCCCGCTGTGACCTCTGCTCTGCCTCGATCCCCACAGGCGCCTGGTGGAGCGGCTGGAGAACATGAGAAAGAACGTGATGGGGAACGGCCTCTCCCAGTGCCTGCTCTGCGGGGAACTGCTGGGGCTGCTGGGGAGCACCTCTGTCTTCTGTCAGGATTGCAAAAAGGTCTGTGTGCTTTCCTGTTATTCACTGCAAGGTCTGTCCTTTGACCTTCCAGTAACACCTCTCTTCAGAGGACTCAAGTCCATCTTCAAGTTCCAAACCAGTGTAAGGTTTTCAACCCCAATACATAAACTAGCCTGTGCATCCATGAGTGCCTGTGTTTGTGTATGTTGTTGGCAGGGCTGCACGGGTGCTGTTTGAAAAGCAGTGTCAGTTTTTAGGGAGACTGCTGTTCTGCCAGTGCCCGGACAAATGATTGCTTCTTGCCTAGACTCTGCAGCCAAGGGGTTAATCTGTATTGCTGTGGAGAAGATGATCTCCAAGGCAACCACCTCATCCTCCCTCTGCTGGGAGGCTGTTTTTCCTGCACTTGAAGCCCATCTTTCCCTGGGGAGGTACCTCTGTAAGTGACTTTGCCTCAGTGGTGGTGTCTGGGGAGAGGTGAGGGTACCTGCTGGGTGCAGGAGAGTTTCTGACTTGCTGTTGGTAGGGTGGAAGGGAGCAGCCTGTGCTGACTCTGTCCCTGGTGGGTACCAGAGCCAAGGAGACACTCACTGATGTCACCCACCCTGTCACTGAGAAGATGTCCAGTGGAGCCCACAGCACTGAGTAAAACCTGCTCCTTTACCATGGGGTGGTGCACATTGGCACCTCAGTGGTTGTGCAGCCATGCAGGCCACGATGGAGAACCTTTTGTGCCAGTGCTGCTGGAGTTTGTGAGATGCAGTTCTTGTGCGGAGCAGGCTGCCAGGCTGGGCCTGGACCACGGTCGGCTGCAGCACTGCTGGGCTTAGAGGTCTTGTAAGAGAAGGAAGGAAGGTGGGGCCCCCTTGCAGTCAGAACTGAGGTCCCAGCATCCCTCCATACGGGCTGGGCAGGGAACTGCTGCGAGCTGTGCTGTGGAGTGATTTTCTCCACTGGATCCAGTTTGCAGAAGAAGCTTGACTGAGGCAGGGATTATGTAGGAAATTGCTTGTAAGGCAGTGACTGGGAAAATAAACAGAAACATTTGAACACCTGGGTCCTAAGCCAGGAAGAAAGCAGCTTTTTTGGGAATGAGTGGGGAAGGAAGCAGCAGTTAGGCACAGTGAAGTGAAAGCTCTGGTTTGAATGGGAGCTACAGGGCAGCACTCTTGGAGAGGAGCGTGGGCTCTGTGCATGTGTCTGTGGAGAACAAGGGCTGGATGGCAGACAGGACGCGGCTGGCCGTTTCCCACATTTTATGCATGCGGAATAACAGGATGTGCTGTATTCTTGCCTTCTTCCCTGAGCGATTCTGCTCTTGCCTTCTCCGAAACCAGCCAAGTCACGTTGCTACAGTGCTTTCTAACCTCCTTCTTGTGAGCCTTGTGCCGTGAGGAGGCAAAAGGTGGCACAGCCACTTCCCTGCCCTGTCCATTTGCAGTTGCAGGTAGTAACCTCCCTAGCTAGTGAGGCTGCATGAGTGCAAGGTTCTGGGAGGGCTGTGCCCAGAAAACTCCAGAGAATGACTGGAGGTTTTTGTGGTTATTCCCTTTTTGTCTGGTCTGTTGGGCAGTTCAGGAGGGTTCATATCTGGGTTGTTTTAAGGTGAGACCCCACTTTTCCAGTGTGCATTTTGTAGCTGCTTTCAGCTTGGCTGCGCTTTTCAGCTGTGTGCAAGCTTAGGGCGATGCTGTCTGGGTGCCCTGGGCTTCTTGCCTTGCTGCTTTTTAATGCTATGAACTCAGGGAGCAGTCAACTCTTAAGCAGAGCACAGAGTGGACTGTTACTTTAAGCTTGTTCCCTCTCATCCAGGGATATCCATCACTTGTGTGGTGCTGTGTGCAATAAGCAATGACTTTTCAGGGAATTACGGATTTTAAAGTTCATATTTTTCTTGCTAACATTGCTCTGTTACCATCTCATTGCAACCCATTTAATTAAATAACAGGAATTGTTGTGATGATGCATCTGAAACACAGCAAAGAACTTCAGGAAATCCCTGCTGCTGAGTAGAGGTTCTATATTTCTTGTCGCCTGGTGGATTTTCTGAGTGCCACTTTCTGTTTTATGAAGACTATTTTTAATGTTAGTTCTTACTATCTTAGAAATAAATGCATTATGGCAAGACAAAGATGTATGCAAATCCAGGTGTGTTAACAATAGCAGTAGTTAGACAAAGCATAATGTGTCATTTACCATGCGGAGGGTATCGGTATCTATAAAAGGTGAAGTCTAAGTGGGAGAAGTGCTTTATCTTGTATTTAATGAGGAATGGGGCTGCATTTAATGTCCTTGATTTTTATGTCTTTTGAGGGGTTGTGAGTGATGCTCAATTTTCCAGCTAGTCTGCAGAGAAAGGGAGAAGGAAAGCGTCGTTTTATATTAGAACTTTCAAAATTTATGGCTAGGAATAAAATCACTTGGAAACTTCCACTAGAGGGAGTGTTTGAATGTGCAATACGTGTGGGGATTGGGATCTTCGAGGGCATTTAGGACTGAGTTGCTCCCTCAGATTTTGGTTTGAGGGAGGGAGAATTTGGGGTAGTTCAGGTGGTGCCTGCTAATTGCATCTGCAATCCCCTTGGCTTGGGTAGCACCATGTTGAGTATTGAAACATCAGACCAAAGAGGTTGTTCCTTATTTCTATGGGAGGATGAGGGTGAGGACAGGAACAAAGGGAGGAGAGGAGCACCAACCTCTCTGGGGCTGCTGGTGCCACCTCTCAGAGCATGAGGCAGGGACAAGCCTGTGTCTGGATTACACTGACCAAAATAGTTGGGTGCATTTATTCACGTGATGTGGCACGTGTGACAGCCTCAGGTGCTGTGGTTCTGCTGCTCTCCTCTTCTGGGCATGGGCTCTGGGTGAGCCACTGAGACTTTGGTACCTGGACACAGACCTCCTGGCTCAGAGGAGCAGCGGTCTGGATTGGGGAATATGTAAAACCTTAGCTGGGGAGATTAAATTCACCTGTCTCGAAACAAGGTTTTGCTCTCCAGGGCCCTCTTTTGAGTGGCTTTTGCTCTGTGTGGATCAAAGAATTCCCCCGATTTCTCATTCAAGCTGTAAGCCAAGCCTGATACGCATCAGCTTCATTAAATAATATTAGGTGATTCAGGTTGTAAATGGCTCGTAATGCCAGCGGAGACATGAAAGTTCCCTTGTGCGGCAATAGAGGCTGTGTGGTGTTATCAGGCATTCTGCTCAGGAAATGTGCGTGTAGGCACGGTCGTGCCTGCTTCCTAAGCAGCCACAAATCAATAGCTGCTGAGTGCATGCTGGAATGGAGGGGAAGCCGTGGGGTTTAGGACTATGTGAGGGAGGGGAGGAGAGGATTTCCAGTCTTGCACAAACTCGCTCTCATTTTGTGCTTGGTTACAGCTGCATTCCATGCCACAGTGATTGAGTTTTAGGATTTAAAGAACTAATAAAAAAACCCCACACTTTAGAAATATAGCTCTTAGTCCTGTGGTTTGATTTGCCCTGTCCAGTTCACTTCTCACCCTGCCATCAAGGACTGTGCTATAGATCTGCCTTTGGCTCATGTCCGTATAGACCTGAAGCAGCTCCCTGCAACCAGTGGTCCTCCAGGATAAATAAGAAAATTGTAGCATGTTTTTAAGGAAAGCAAAGCAAAACTGTTAGGACAGATGCTTCTCGACCTTCTGTCTCCCAAGGGCTACATATGGCTGTGGGAGTTGTTAACATCACCTTTCTTCTTCTCTCCTTGTTTCAGAAAGTTTGCACCAAGTGTGGAATAGAAACCATTGGAACCCAGAAGCGTCCTCTTTGGTTGTGCAAGATTTGCAGTGAACAGAGAGAGGTAAAATGCAGCTGTGGAGAGACAGGGCTCAGCAGCATGCACCTACCTGTCCCAAGCGTGTGCTGAGTGTGTGTGGGCTCTTTCCTGTGCTGGGGCAGTGGAGGGCACCTTGAAGTGGGGTTTGGGAAGCTTGGCTGGAGGCCCAGCAGGCTCAGTGAATATACACAAGGGTGACAACTTTAATTTGTGATGGCACGGAGGGGATAGAAAACCACCAGCCCCTGCAGCCTGTATGGCTTTGTGGGGTTTTTCTAGTTATGGTCATAAAAAGACTGTTACCTTCTGCTGCCAAGCTCTTTCTCTCCTAGCTCTGTGGCAAATAAACTTGGCTAACACTGGTTCTTTAATACAGCTGGAGAGATCTAGAGCATAGCTGCAATATTTCTCCCTCTAAAAATAACTAGGATTGCAGCTTTTAAGTCTGTTTTCCTCCCTGCCTACAAAATCCCATAATTTGCCAGTGTGTGAGACTTCTAATGCAGGTCTCTAAATTTTTATATCCTTCATCCTTGACTTTACACTGCAAAATGTAATAGCCTGCCTCAATTCTTGTCTGCCAGCCAGCAGCCACCAACATCAGGGCTTACTGCTCTATAGTGGAGTGAAGTCAGTGAATTTGTTCTGTGATCACAGAAGGATTTTCACTTGTTCACATAAATTTATTTTGGGCTTTTGCTTGTGGTCCTTGAACATCAATCCAGTGCAGCTATTTCTGACCACTGCAGCCAACTGTGAAACCTGGGTGCTCTGCTAAATCAATTTTTGTAGTGTAGTGAGAGCATTTGTGCAGATGTTTGAGATGCTGAAACTTTCATATTCTAGTTGTGGAAACTTAGCATTGCTTAGGTTTTGCAGAGGAGGGATTTGTCTCTGTGGGAGCACTTGTAAAGTTCATGTTCAGGTAAGATGAGGGGTACATGGATGCCGCTCGTCTTTAACTTCTGAGCAGCAGTGTGGATGTGAGTATGGCAGGCAAAGAGCAATCCAGCTTCTTGGGTATTGCTGATGCACTGAATAATCCAGATGTTTTGAATTCGAACTGGAGGTCCTGAAATGGAGAGTGAGGCAGGTCAAGGTATTTTCTGTGTTCTGCAGGGAGATGGATAAGGGACTAAAATTGACTTTATTTCTTTTATCCTGTTCTTTCTATATTTTTTTCTCATCCTATGCTGTATCCTAAATAATGAGGAGCTATGGTCACTGGACAGAGAAGAATATTAACCTGTCCAGTGTGTGTTATGTGCAGCCAGCGCGTGGGGGTACTGTAACCTTCAGAGCTCGGTCTCTCCGTGAAACCTGAGATACAGAGTGCTTCCCTACTGAAAATAGATGGAACTTTCCCTCTTAAGCTAACTAAAAAATAGCATCATCTTACCTCCTAGCTGTAAGCTTCATCTTTAATTTTTAATTCTCTGTAAGGTCGGTTCAGGTCTGTCTCCTTTCTTGTTTGCAGTGATGCTGGTGCCCTGACCAGGAGAAGGTTGGAAGGGTCCCGGGGTGGACACACAGCCAGGTGTCAAGTCATACATCCCCTCTGTCTTCCCATGTGCTTAGGAAGGAAGAATTTCCTCAAGGAAGCTGAGGCAGTATCAGAATAAATGTCTGAAGAGTGGATTTGATCAGGTCCTCCGTAAGAGTCCGTGCGAGGAAGAGATGAGGCTCTTAGGCCTCGGGCTGATGGCTGGTTCTAGTGCAGTTCCTGAAGCTGGTTCAGGTGTCATGGTATTGCAGGACATGAACTAAACTACCAGGTTTCTTTTAAGGGTTTGTGTTCACAACCAGTTCCTTGTGGCCGTCTGTTTCTGTGATCTAGATCTGTCTTGTATTGCCATCTGCTCTGGACAAAACCCATTTGGCCATGCTCTTTGCTGAAGGTTATATTTGGTATCAATGAGTGCAGATGGATGTCTGCTCTTTGGGATCAGATATTCTTATTTCTGTCCAACCTGCTTGGTTGGCCTTATTTTATTTCCTGAGATGCAGGCAGGGAGTTTCAGGAACCCACTTTGTGTTGTGTGATGCAGTGATAAGCCAATACCCCCCTTCTCAATGCACAGCGTGACTGAGGAAGGTTCTTTAGCCTGTGCCAACAAAGCATGTACTTAAAGTAGGCTTGTCCCAGGCCACAGAGCTCTGGCAACGCCTCCCACCTTGTTGGGCTGTGCTCAGGTGCCTAAACTTGGCCGTTTTAGTGGGTGAGTGTTTGGTGCTGGTGCCCCCTCCAGGAGGTGTGATGAGATGTGGTGTTTCCAAGCTGGGTGATTCCCTCTGCATCAGCGCTTTGATCACTGTCTGCAATTTTCTGAACCACTGCTCAAGCTATTAGGGCATGATATTTATGAAGCTCTCAACTCTGTTAGTGAGAGACTCTCAGGCACTGAAGTGCGAAAGGGAGGTCATTTGGAAACCTGAATGGACTAAATGATGTTGCCTGGGGTTAATAAGTGTCACCTGCCTGAGATGAGAGCCTAGGACTGTGATTGTCCCCTTTAGCCTCTGCCATGCACTGAGTGAGCACGGGAGCCCTGTGACGTGCCAGGATCTCAGGCCAGGACGGTGGGGTTGGACCCCCACCATTCATTTGTACCAGCTAACAGCTAAAGCACGTGGCATTTGTACATGTGAAAGCTTTCATCCCTGCATCTTCCTTGTCATTAGTTATTCCTGTAAGCCTGATTTAAGCTAGCATAAGTTTAGTGACGTGGAAGTCATCATCCTGCTTTTGCTGTGCGGACAGAATCTGTGCTGGCTTCAGTTACGATTAAATTATCAGTGTTCCTGGGTCAAAATGAAGACCAAAGTAACAGTCTATTGTTTACATCAATTTTTCAGTAGGAGTTGAATGTTTGATGCCCGCAGATCCCTTTGGGAATCCCAGCCTCAGCCATTCAGAAGCGTTCTTTGCTTCTTTCTGTTTCCTTGAAAACCTCCACTGGGAAGGCTGTGCTGCATAGCAATGCAGAACGAGTTGCTGTGACACCGTCTTATTTCTGGAGCGTGGAGGTGATTAATGGATTCTGCCTGCTGCTTGCGTCCCAGTCATCCAGAAGCAAAACAGCACATTCAGCAGCACCCAAGCTGCCGAGTGTGATGTGTATGTGCAGGGTGAGGGTCTCCAAGCTGCCAGAGAGGCACTGGGAGAAAAGTGCTGTGTTCTGACGTGGCCAGGACCTGACAGAGCCTGGATGTTCCTATTGGCAAAGAGAGCATCCCCAAGGACCAGCAGACACCCCTGCATTGTAAGTGCATCTCTTCTTTCTGAAATAAGATAGACCTCGTCTGCCTTGGGCCAAAACTGGCCTGTTGGAGATACTGCTTGTACTGGCTGCTTGCAGAAGCTTCTTTGAAAACCCCCTTTTGTTCTTCCAGGATCCTGTGGATGTTTTCCTTTGCAATGTGTTCTGAGGTTGGTGGATTTGAAGCAGGTGTGGATTGTGTTTTATTGGCCCTTGCAAGCAAGGGCAGAAGCAAATTCAGTCAAGTTCACATTCACTTTCGAGGGCAAGAATCTTTCTTCCTCTTTCC